TAAAATCACTCTTCTTAGAAGCTCCTGTTCAAGCTGACTATTTGTAAATAAAAATTGGTGTCAAAATCTTCAACCATTCAGATTCTTCCTTCTTTTTTTTCCCAGATGAGCCACTTTTGGTTCATTTTCCAAACCGCCACATTATTCGAAAAATGGCAATGCTTCAGCTATGTTTCCATATGATCCATTTTAAATAAGTTTTTCAAATTTTTTGCAAATACTTTCAAGACACATAATTTGAAAAGTGTGATTCTGATGTCTTTCACATGATACATCTACCTCTCCAAGCTCTCCAATCCCCAAGTTGAAGGATACTGTAACTCGTGAAACGCACTTCTTTCACCTGTAATAAATACAGAAGGACCAATGATGAAACCAACATGATATTGGCCATTTCTCAAACATCAACCTCTATTTAGCACATCACAAATGCTGTCACTTTCAGCAATGAGTGGAGACTTTCCAAATCTAAGTCAATTTACCATCCAAACAAAGCCACACGCGCTGGAGTATGAGAACACGAATAGGAGCAGAGTTTTCCGCATAGAAATACAGCGGATTTTCAAACAGTCATACGCACTCTCGCGGTTCATCGGAAAGATTTTCAGTTTATCATCAATCTTCTGCATGCAATTCTACTTTATAAAATATTTCAATTCAAATGATTCATCAACAGAATGACATCGATTCAACTCGCCCTGGCAGGCAAACCTACACCAACAAACGCAGGACCGAACAAAAATGAAAGAACCACCTCTGATTTGCTTTTCTTATCAAGAAAAAACAAGCATATGGATTGTTCTTTAGAAAACGCAGTTGACAATGCAGGAAAGAGAATTCAAGGTAGCTAACTAGTAAAGTTCACACACTGCTGTGTCATATCTTTTTTTTTTTAAGATTTTTTTTGGGAATTTTTCCTTTATTTGATAGTTATACAGTGTAGAGAGACAGAAAAGTTGGGGAGAAGAATGGGGGAAGACATGCAGCAAATGACCCCAGCGAGATTCAAACCCAGATCGCTGCGGGAAGGACGCAGCTTCTATAGTATGCGCACTTAGACCGATGAGCTACCGGAGCAGCCCTGTTGGGCCATATTTAAAGGTCTGTACTTACAAACACTGGATTACTTACTGCTTGGTACAAGTAGTAATAAGTTAAGTATGATAAGTTACGTATAAAGGAATAATACTGCTAATACAATATACATAGCCTGTACAAAAGTGCAAACTCAGGCAGCAAACTAAAATAGAATGAGAAACTGAGATGGCAATACGAACGCATGCAGAGAGAGCAATCGCTACCCAGATAGCAAAAGACATTCATTCAATGTTGGATTTTGGTCAGATTGGTTATTTTTGGTTGAGGTTGAAAAATCTATGTTGATTCAATGTTTAATTACAGTTACCATTTCAACGTTTGAAAACCTGTTGTTGAATCAATGTAGTATAGATGATGATCAATGTAGTATAGATGATGATTTTTCAATGTTGAAATGCCCTACAATGAATTGACATCGTTTCAACGGTGCTGATGTGGGGGGGTGTCGTCACAAGTACAAAAGTGTAATTTCTTTTGAATCTTTAATAAATAACTGAATGAATAATGGTCTGTTTTATTGGGGTTTTTTTTTGTTGTTTCAGCATTTTAACCTTCGTCTGTATGTTTTTAATATGCCTCATTTAAAAAATAATCATTTAACATAACATAACATGAGTGGTGAGAACAGGCCGTTCAGCCCAACTAGGCTCGCCAGTTTCTTTATAATATTGTGAATATATCACTTCAGATTCTCAATGACTCAATGGGATCTAGCTTTAAGTCAAGCCTGCTCTTGAAAATTCCCAAGGTCTCTGCCTCAAGAATATGGTCAGGCAAGCTGTTCCACATCGAAATTACTCTATTTGGTGTTTTAAAGTTCTGCGTGTTCAGGTTTGGGCCTTTCAGCCCCTCCCCTTTCATGTCCTTCTACCTCCACCTTGATTGGCCTCGGCTGGAGCCAGTTAAGGTGGAGGTAGTTGCAGAGTATTTAGGGCTGGCAGGTGCCAGTCCTTGTGCTCTGCATTTTTTCTTGGCCACAGCAGGTCTGTGTGTCTGTTTTAGCTGCCACCTTGTCTTGTTTTTCTTTTTTTTGTACTCAGTTCTTGTTTGTTTTTTCAAGTGAATTCAGTTCTTCACCCCCAGCCGTGGCACTTGAGTCTCCTTTCGCCCAAGCCCATGGTCTTAGTGCCCGCCGGATTGCCGTTTGCATCCGGCGGGGTGCAAACCATAACACTGTGGGGGTGGCTCCAAACTTGTCTATTAGTGACATCACTGCCATTCAGGCATATGGCAGTGATATCACTGACTAGTAGACTACTTTGGCATGCTCCTTGTTGAAATATACCATAAATAGAGTAATAAAGTGATTGTTTTTTAATGAGGCATATTAAAAACATACAGAGGAGGGTTGAAAAGTGTTGAAAGGGCCCTTTAATAATAACATTGTTTCAATGTGTAATGCAATGCATATATATAGTTGAATCAATGTTGATGCAATTCTACATTCTTTCAATGTTGATCATATCATAGTTGAATCAAGGTTGATTCATCGTCAGAATTGATTGGAAATTCAACGTTATTTCCATGTTGATCATAGCGAGCACTTTCAATGTTTTTTTCAATATCTGATATCAGTGTTGATTGCAATCTTCAGCCTGACAATATCACAATGTTGATTCAATCACTTTTTGCTATCTGGGTTATGCATCACAATCAAGCAAAAAAGATGTTAGACAAGAATAGCACACCACACTCAACCAGACAATCTCTGAGAGATAATAGGGTGAACCCAATATCAAATGAGATGTGTAATATGTTGCAGCAAACACTCATATCTTGCTAATCATAGAAAACAATGACTGACACACGTACCATTCAATGCCCTCCCAGGCTAAGACATGACGCAAGCTCGCAGAATTTGGCAAATCAAGGAGTTGGCCTCGCCTCCAGGCATAGAAAAAAAATCCACGCAGAGAAACCCATTCAGTGGCAAGTCTAAACCAATGATAGTCAACGATTCAGGGAAAAAGAAAAGAAACGCAACAAAATTGCAATACATACTCATGCAGAAAGCGAATGCTTCTCGACAGCGCCAAAAGATATCGGACTAATTGCGCACTGCACTTAACAGGATTGACTCTGAAAAATAATACGACAAACAAATGAGATCTGTGCTATGCTGCAGAAAGCACGAATTTCTTGCTAAGCGAATAAAAGGACGACTGACACAAGTACCGTTCCGTAGTGCTGGTGAGATGAAGCTTCATGAAGTGTTGAAGCTTTCCAGCCAGGGGCCTCATTTATCATTGTGGATACACCTTTTTTTACACCCTTTTTCCCCCCGTTTTGTGCATATGCACTTTTCTCCGCCAAATTTGGGATCAATCAAACCCAAACCTGACGGGAAAAAGGGCAGACACTTACACCCATTTTGACCACGGCGTACCGTGATTTACGCCACGGTTGAAGAACAGGAGGAATTGGCGACGCAGCTGCTGAGTCAGAGAATTGCAGTGTGTGAGGGAGAGAGGAGCTCGGATTATAGCCTATTTAACAGAACAATCAACGCCGCAGCAATGTCCGGTTTTCCTAATGTAATCGGAGCCATTGACTGCACTCACATCATGATTAGGGCACCATCGGTGAACGAATTCGTAAATGTGAATCGCAAAAATGTGCATACGATGAACACCCAAATCATATGTGACGCCGACATGCTCATAACGAATGTCGTGGCGCGGTGGCCTGGCTCCACACATGATTCATTCATCCTGACGCACGGCAGTGTGGGGCGAGACTGGGGGCAGGCGCTGTGCGTGACGGCTGGCTTCTTGGTGAGTGCATGTAGGCTACACAGTATACTCATTCATTGAAAGCTGCTGCTAAAAATCATCAATTCAAGGCTGATACTCACCCCATCGTTGTGACTTACAGGTGATAGTGGCTACTTCCTGAGGGAGTGGCTATTAGTTCCCATCCCGGACCCACGGGGTGCCCAGGAAACCCAGTATAACGAGGTCCATGCCCGAGCGCGCTGCATCGTGGAGTGCGCCATCGGGCTCCTGAAAGGCCGTTGGCGCTGCCTGGATGTGTCGGGTGGTAGGCTCCTCTACCACCCAAAAAAGGTCTGCAGGATCATCTGGACCTGTGCCATCCTGCTCAATGTGGCAGTGAGGCGTGGGGTTGCGCTGCGGCCGAGCCTCCCTCCACCCCAGCATGTGGACCCGGACCCACAGCCCCCTCCCCGTCATGAGGGTTTTCAACGGGGACTAAGGACACGAGCTGCGCTGATGCAGCGGTTGTGGAAAAGCTCATTTTGTGGGTAAAATTGTAAAATTTCTCAGTTTCAACATTTGCTATGTTATCTCTGTTCTATTGTGAATAAAATACTGGCTGGAGTGATTTGAAAGTCATTGCATTTTGATTTTATTTACAATTTACACTTTGTCCCAACTATTTCGGAATAAGGGTTGTATATGCACACTCCCATGGACTTTACCATTCGTTCACACTCTGATTAGATGTGCGCTTTAATTGTCAAATTTCATGTCTTTTTATAATTGAATTAATCAAAATAAAGTTTATTAAAAAGATGCACATTTCTTTTCGTTATGTACCTCTGTATGTACAGGTACCTCTGTACCTGTAGTTGGCATAATGACAATAAATTTGAATATTCTAATCTAATATTAACAGTTTCCCATTTCCCCTAAAGCTATGACATCTGCCCCTTTTGCCAGTGGGAGTGGGACAAATCAGGGCTCACAGTAGGTTACAGTTACGATTACTGTTCACACTGAACTAACTACTTTGCGAACAAACTTTGATCAAAATCCACCGCTGTTTAAAGTCCCTGCTGGATTTGAGCGTAACAGCACCAGCGTCAGCAGAAATTTATTTCCGGGTGCCATAAGCATCGCAAAGTCTACCATTGCTGAAAGTCCCTATGAAATTCACAACTGCATCCACGAAGGGACTCAAACCCTCAGTCTTCTGATATAAAGTTAGATGCCTTATCCATTAGGCCACGTGGTCATTGCATGACTAAACTGACTCCGAACAGTGAGCTGTGAGAACTGACAGCGGTTCATAAATGCCATGTCAAATAACCGCTGTCATGTTAAATTAAACAGCCCTGTCATTGAAAAACTCTCATGCTCAATCACTCTCCAGATCCAAACTCAGGTGTTTAGACCGTATGGTCAGGATGAGCAATGTTAGCCCCTTGACTGAAGGGGACAGAAACCGGGACCAAGTCATGTTAACAAGCACCAGCTTAAAAGAAAGTTTTTGTCTGAGAAACAGCTGGCAAGTGACATTAACAAGCACCAGCACTAAACATCCATGAATGGTCTCCAACTGTCATTCTTAATACGTGAGTTAGCTAACTTATCCAATATTTGCCCGATGTATTAGTTCACATGGTCAGGCTGAATTTTGCTTGTCCCTTGACAGTAGTTTTGTGAGTTTTGTCAAGCTTCTCTCTAAAACCGCAGCCAGATAACATGAAAAACCAGGACCGGAAAACACTTATGAAGGGACTCAGATCCTCAATCTTCTGGCTCAAAGTCAGAAACCTCATCTATTAGTTTTTTTTCATACATTACTACTACTATGTTACATTCAAAAGCTCTGTTATTGAACAAGGCATGCTCAATTACCTGATCCAAAATCAGGTGCCCTGTGTATCGGACCGTGAAAAACAGCTTGCAAATGATATAAACACAACTGTCAAACAACCAAGAAGGGACTAAGGTCCTTAGTCTTCAGATCCGATGTCAGGAGTTTATCCATTAGGTGCCCTTCATATTAGGTTACATCATACGACTGAATTGCTTTATTCTCATAAACATAACGTTCCAAGTGCTTTGTCTGGTTTCTTCTGACGAAACAGCTACCAGGTCTTATTAACAAGCACTAGTTTTAAAGAAAGTTTGTATTTAGGAAATACAGCAAGATAAATTAACAAGCACCTCCATGAAACACCCTTGAAGGTTCTCCAACACTAAATCTGAAGATCAGGGCCGCGTTTGAATAGTGTTTTTTGTCTCGGAAAGTGGCTAACTTCTAGAAAATGAGCTGGAAGTATATACACGGCAGCCATGATAAGTGTGTTTGAATTTTGTAAATATAAAGGAAAGGTGCTTCAATGCTTCCTAACGTATCACCTTTGACATAGGGTACACAAAACCATTCTTCATAAAAACAAAGGTGATAACGCCATCCAGCCATTCAGTGTGGCAGAACCATTTAAAGTGACGACCATCCATACGGGCAATCACAAAAAACAAAGGAATGTGATGGGCAAGAATGGCATGATCAAATTGGCCAGTAAATGCATTCGGATTGTCTTAGCAGCGCGGTTGTCTTCCTTAGCCATTATGAATTCCCCTTTACACCTCTCCTTTACCTCATGACGTTATGCAATCGAGGTTGAAGAAACGTTTTTGGAAATTAGAGTATATGATGTCTATTTTTGACTATTCAAATTCAGCAGCAAAGTTAGATAACTTATCCTTTATTTGCCATATGTATTAGGTCACATGGTCAGGTTTAGTTATACTTGTCCTTTAATTGAAGCCTCATGGTTTTTCAGGTTAATTTTTAGGAAACAGCTGCCTAGTTTTAAAATGCACGCGCTTTCAAGTATTGTTAAGGGTCTCTTTAATGTTCTGAACCAAGGACTGACACCTTCTCCATGCGATCGCACAGTCAGTTTCCATGATGTCAGCTCCATAGAATTAAAAACAGTTAAATGCACAATGTCATAGAGTCATTGGGATCTCAAGGGAGCTTAAAATGGCCGCCGTTATTGGTAAGAAAGTATTCTTATTGTGGCACCTGAAAGGGAAGATCATGGAATTCCACAAAGGTTGGCTAGTATTTACAAGCAGCAAAGGTAGTTTCACTCAAGTCTGCTCACACTTTGACGCAATTGTCAATGCCCTTTTACTACAGTGTTTGAATTGTATGGATAGCTGAAGGGAGTATCAGCAGACTTTTATCGCACTATCTTGTATTCACTATTGCTACAATAGGGACTTTAAGCAACGGCGGATTTTGCGATGGCTACGGCACCCGGATATAGATCTGCGCTCCGCTGATCGAGACTTAAGCCGTTGTGCCGGCATTCCTTGCCGTAGCAGGCTGATCTACTACGGGGAAAGAACCAATCTCACATAGTCACTACAACGCTTGGTTCAGGTGATTGAATTTAATGGTTTTCATTGTATTTCTGAAATGAAATGTTTTCTATAATTGATTGTGACACACTTAACATTATGTGTTTCAGCGAACCTTTCTCACAGATACAGGACACTATGCAAATTTCACTGAATAAAACCATAGTGAACTATTTTCTGCTGTAGGCTACATTCTCCCCTCATTCTTGCATGGCATACGCTACTTAATTTCTCTCTATACCCTATAAATATCTATATTTACTCCCATGTACATTAGTCTTTATTCTACTGCTGTGCATATAAAGCACACATATGCTGTATATATATATGCACACACCCATGAACTTTACCATTCGTTCACACTCTGATTAGATGTGTGCTTTAATTGTCAAATTTTATGACTTTTTATAATTGAATTGTTCAAAATAAAGTTTATTAAAAAGATGCACATTTCTTTTCGGTATGCTCTGTACCTGTAGTTGGCATAATGACAATAAATTTGAATATTCTAATCTAATATTAAGAGTTTCCCATTTCCCCAAAAGCTATGACATCTGCCCCTTTTGCCAGTGGCAGTGGGACAAATCAGGGCTCAAAGTAGGTTACAGTTATAATTACTGTTGACACTGAACTAACAAACTTTGATCAAAATCCACTGTTGTTTAAAGTCCCTGCTGGACTTCACTGTGACAGCACCAGGAGAAATTTATTTCCTGGTGGCATAGGCATCAGAAAATCCGCTGTTGCTGAAAGTCCCTATCAACTACAACCACAAAGGAACTCGAACCCTCAGTCTTCTGATCTAAAGTCAGACACCTTATCCATTGGGCCACATGGTCATTGCAATGGAGTATCAGCAGACTTTTATAGCACTATCTTGAATTCACGAAAGATGAATTCTCAAAAGATGAGCACAACATCTGAGAATATCGAGAGAGGGCCCTCATACTGCCGAAACCCAGGATTGAAGCAGGGACTTTTAGATCTACAGTCTATCGCTCTCCCAACTGAGCTATTTCAGCAAAGTTACTTTGCAGTTTCTGATACCTCCAAACAGTAGAAATTTGTGCGAAGGCAGCATTTTCTCCAAAATCTGTCTTCTCTGAGGAAATTTTGGGCTATTTTGAGCAGTTTGATTACCTGCATATGTTAAAATCATTCATCCTTCAGCAAACCATCAAGAGTGCCCCCTGAGATTCAGTTATCGCATGGCTCATACCAAGTGAGTGAACTACCACAGCTGCCGCATGAAAAGCTCAAACAGTGCCCTCACAGCAGTTTCTCATTTGGTACCATTTCATGGTCAAGATGGAGCCATGATTTATTTCCATCCCACAAAACACAGTGCGGTGGTCTTGTCTATTTCCATGAAGCTTTGCACTTTTTTATTACTCCCATATCTAAATAAAGTTTTGCTCTCCCTCGTGACTTGTCCCAACGTAGTCTTGCAAGTTTATTTAATATACATCTGGCATCAAAGACCTTGAGTCATTCCTCACACGCTTTCTACATCCAGCTTGCATCGTCTGAGATAAAATCATTCACAATGCTGAATTTGAGCTGAAGTTTCTGTTGGCACTGTTTAATCCCGTCCTCGAAAGATGAATGCAGAAACTTGCAATGTAATGTTGGCGCAAGCATGTTCCACCCCAAACATTTTGTGTATTCTCCTTGTCGTTGGCTGTCATATCAAGCATCTGTCCATGCTTTGAGGATAAAAATGACGGAGAAGCCCTGTCCAAATACAAAAGTGAAAGAATAAAAATTGTGCAAGGACTCAGAGATCAATCAGAATTTTCACTCGAAATTGAGGAAATTCATCTGTAATATTTCCCCCAAACAACCCTGGGGAATTAGCTCAAATGGTAGAGCGCTCGCTTAACATGCGAGAGGTAGCGGGATGGATGCCTGCATTCTCCAGCTTTGCCCCTTGTGCCCTGACAGGCGTGCTCCTGCATTCTCTGCCGAGGCGGACTAGGACGCTGAGTCAATTGTGCAATACTGTGCGTGTTTCTGAGCAGAAGAGACTCTTTGCTGTCTTTATCTCAGAGGATTGCTCTGACATGTATTCCCTCTGACCCCTACTGCTGGAGCACTGAAGCCCGCCAGGACCCCTGGCATTGACAGCAATGATGAACAGCAAGCAATGTCTCAATTTTAGTTTGAAGTCAAAGTCAACTAACGCTATGCATCATTAGTTTTGCTTGTCCCAGGAGTAGTGAAAGCAAGGACAGCTGCAGGGTCATTGCTGAAATTAAGATAAGGTTCAATTGCCATTGTTTTACAAGACCAGCAAAATGTCATTGCAGACATTCGGAATGGCGTTCTACAGCACATACATTTTCAGGCCATTGTCTGCCATTTCCTCCTCGTTAGTATAGTGGTGAGTATCCCCGCCTGTCACGCGGGAGACCGGGGTTCGATTCCCCGACAGGGAATTGGAGGTTTTTTTCCCCCTCACTGTCAGAACAAAGAAAAAAAAGCTGACTCATTTTCGCTGTGAGTGACATTATGAAACCTAAAGTCTGTCCTTTCAACACTATTACACATGGCTTGTGGATAAAAAAGTGCTTTTTTCACAAGCTGAGCATTGAGCACTGATATTTCTCCAGGCTAAAAGTGGTTTCCAACATACAGCTCTGCCATGAATGCCATTCTTGCCCAGTCGCTTTCACTTTTCTTTCTTGCCCAGCACTACATCATTCTGTTTGTGCAGCCCACAGTGCATTCGCCTTTCTTGTGCTGCTGACTTTTTTGTTCACGAGGCAACCAAACGACTCAAGTCATCTTGTTTTGTGCACAAGCGAAAGTTAAAACAGAAAACAACATCTGAGAATATTGAGAGAGGGACCTCATACTGCCAAAAACCAGGATTGAACCAGGGACCTTTTGATTTTCAGTCTAATGCTTTCCCAAATGAACTATTTCAGTAATGATAATCTGCACTCTCTGATACCTCCAAATGGTAGAAATCTGTGCGAAGGCAGCATTTTCTCCAAAATCTGTCTTCTCTGAGGAAATTTCAGGCTATTTTGAGCAGTTTGATTACCTGCATATGGTAAAATCATTCATCCTTCAGCAAACCATCAAGAGTGCCCCCTGAGATTCAGTTATCGCATGGCTCATACCAAGTGAGTGAACTACCACAGCTGCCGCATGAAAAGCTCAAACAGTGCCCTCACGGCAGTTTCTCATTTGGTACCATTTCATGGTCACGATGGAGCCTTGATTTATGTCCATCCCACAAAACACAGTGCGGTGGTCTTGTCTATTTCCATGATGCTTTGCGCTTTTCTATTAATCCCATAGCTTAATAAAGTTTTGCTCTCCCTCATTACTTGTCCCAACGTAGGCTTGCAAGTTCAAATTATATACATATGGCATCAAAGACCTTGAGTCATTCGTCACACGCTTTCTACATCCAGCTTGCATCGTCCGAGATGAAATCATTCACAATGCTGAATTTGAGCTGAAGTTTCTGTTGGCACTGTTTAATCCTGTCCTCGAAAGATGAATGCAGAAACTTGCAATGTAATGTTGGCGCAACCATGTTCCACCCCAAACATTTTGTGTATTCTCCTTGTCGTTGTCTGTCATATCAAGCATCTGTCCATGCTTTGAGGGTAAAAATGACGGAGAAGCCCTGTCCAAATACAAAAGTGAAAGAATAAAAATTGGGCAAGAACTCAGAGATAAATCAGAATTTTCACTCGAAATTGAGGAAATTCATCTGTAATATTTCCCACAGATAATCAAGGGGAAATAACTCAAATGGTAGAGCGCTCACTTAGCATGCGAGAGGCAGCGGGGTCGATGCCCGCATTCTCCAGCCTTGCCCTTTGTGACCTCACAGGCGTGCTCCTGCATTCACTGCCGAGGCGGACTAGGACGTGGAGTCAATTGTGCAATACTGTGCGTGTTTCTGAGCAGGAGACTCTTCGCTGCCTTTATCTCAGAGGATAGCTCTGACATGTATTCCCTCTGACCCCTACTGCTGGAGCACTGAAGCCCACCAGGACCCCTGGCATTGACAGCAATGATAAACAGCAAGCAATGTCTCAATTTTAGTTTGAAGTCAAAGTCAACTAACACTATGCATCATTAGTTTTGCTTGTCCCAGGAGTAGTGAAAGCAAGGACAGCTGCAGGGTCATTGCTGAATTTAAGATAAGGTTCAATTGCCATTGTTTTACAAGACCTGCAAAATGTCATTGCTGACATTTGGAATGGCGTTCTACAGCACATACATTTTCAGGCCATTGATTGCCATTTCCTCCTCGTTAGTATAGTGGTGAGTATCCCCGCCTGTCACGCGGGAGACTGGGGTTCGATTCCCCGACGGGGATCTGAAGGTTTTTATTTCCCAGTCACTGTCAGAACAAAGACGAAAATCTGACTCATTGTCGCTGTGAATGACATTGTGAAACCTAAAGTCTGTCCTTTCAACACTATTACACATGGCCTGTGGATAAAAAAGTGCTTTTTTCACAAGCTGAGCATTGAGCACTGATATTTCTCCAGGCTAAAAGTGGTTTCCAACATACAGCTCAGCCATGAATGCCATTCTTGCCCAGTCGCTTTCACTTTTCTTTCTTGCCCAGCACTACATCATTCTGTTTGTGCAGCCCACAGTGCATTCGCCTTTCTTGTGCAGCTGACTTTTTTGTTCACTCGGGTAGCAAACGACGCAAGTCATCTTGTTTCTTGCACAAGAGAAAGTTAAAACAGCACACGATATCTGGGAATGTCAAGAGAGGGCCCTCATGCTGCCGAAATCCAAAATCAAACCAGGGACCTTTAGATGTTCAGTCTAACACTGTCCCAACTGAAGTATTTTGACAAAGCTGCTTCTTCTTGTTTGATACCTCCAAACGGTAGAAATCTGTGCGAAGGCAGCATTTTCTCCAAAATCCGTCTTCTCTGAGGAAATTTCAGGTTATTTTGAGCAGTTTGATTACCTGCAAATGGTAAAATCATTCATCCTCCCGCAAACCATCAAGAGTGCCCCCTGAGATTCAGTTATCGCATGGCTCATACCAAGTGAGTGAACTACCACCCGCTCGCATGAAAAGCTCAAACAGTGCCCTCACGGCAGTTTCTCATTTGGTACCATTTCATGGCCAGAAGGAGCCATGATTTATTTCCATCCCACAAAACACAGTGCGGTGGTCTTGTCTATTTCCATGATGCTTTGCACTTTTTTATTACTCCCATAGCTTAATAAAATTTTGCTCTCCCTCGTTACTTGTTCCAACGTAGGCTTGCAAGTTTAGTTTATATACATCTGGCATCAAAGACCTTGAGTCATTCCTCACACGCTTTCTACATCCAGCTTGCATCGTCTGAGATAAAATCATTCACAATGCTGAATTTGAGCTGAAGTTTCTGTTGGCGCTGTTTAATCCTGTCCTGGAAAGATGAATGCAGAAACTTGCAATGTAATGTTGGCGCAAGCATGTTCCACCCCAAACATTTTGTGTATTCTCCTTGTCGTTGGCTGTCATATCAAGCATCTGTCCATGCTTTGAGGGTAAAAATGACGGAGAAGCCCTGTCCAAATACAAAAGTGAAAGAATAAAAATTGCACAAGGACTCAGAGATCAATCAGAATTTTCCCTCGAAATTGAGGAAATTCATCTGTAATATTTCCCACAAATAATCAAGGGGAATTAGCTCAAATGGTAGAGCGCTTGCTTAGCATGCGAGAGGTAGCGGGATCGATGCCCGCATTCTCCAACCTTGCCCTTTGTGCCCTCACAGGCGTGCTCCTGCATTCACTGCCGACTAGGACGTAGAGTCAATTGTGCAATACTGTGCGTGTTTCTGAGCAGAAGAGACTCTTTGCTGCCTTTATCTCAGAGGATAGCTCTGACATGTATTCCCTCTGACCCCTACTGCTGGAGCACTGAAGCCCGCCAGGACCCCTGGCATTGACAGCAATGATGAACAGCAAGAAATGTCTCAATTTTAGTTTGAAGTCAAAGCCAACTAACACTATGCATCATTAGTTTTGCTTGTCCCAGGAGTAGTGAAAGCAAGGACAGCTGCAGGGTCATTGCTGAATTTAAGATAAGGTTCAATTGCCATTGTTTTACAAAACCTGCAAAATGTCATTGCAGACATTTGGAATGGCGTTCTACAGCACATACATTTTCAGGCTATTTAATGCCATTTCCTCCTCGTTAGTATAGTGGTGAGTGTCCTCGCCTGTCACGCAGAAAACCGGGATTCGATTCCCCGACGGGGAGTTGGAGGTTTTTTCCCCAGTCACTGTAAGAACAAAGAAAAAAAGCTGACTCATTTTTCGCTGTGATTGACGCAGTTAAAATCACCTCCTATGACAATATTCTCTTATGACAAATCAGCAATCTTTGACATTACATCTGTGAGAAAATTAAGGGGATGGCCTCATGGACAATATTTAAGATGCCAAACTCTTCTCCATGAATAACAGCTTTTATAAGCACAAATGGTCCATACTTGTCCTGAATACAATCAATCAATTTAAAAGATAAGCTCTTCCTAACTAAAATAGCCACTCCCCTACTCTTAGTAGTGAAGGAAGAAAAATATACATGCTCAAAACCACATTGTTGTAATTTACATGTTCTTTATCATCTAAATGCGTCTCTTGTAAGAGTGCTATATCAACATTTTCCTTTTTTAATGCCAATAGTACCTTTTTCCTCTTAATTGGTGAATGATTGCCCTTAATGTTCCATGTACATAGCCTGAAATTCTTAGCAATCGTTCTGTTTTATCATGATTGTAATGTCTCTGAAAAAATGCTGTCTTATCGATAGCGTACCCGGAAAAACTGTAGCTGAGCCATAAACAACAAACAAACAAAAAACAGAAGCACGAAGAGTGCTTTCCATAGGGGGCTTCCCCATTTAACAACCAGGGGATTACAAAACCTCTAAATACACTGTCCATTGCCTCCCTTATACGTAAACAACATAAAAGCAAATTGTAAAGAATAAATAAATGAATAACTCAGAAAAAAAATGGAGAGGCACTCCTCTCTTTCCACATAGGGAACTTCTAGTGTTTCCTGCCCTGTGCGAGCTAGTGTCGTACCACTTAATACAGCAAAAAAAAAAAATTATATATATATAGATATTGCACTTTAGTTACTCATGCACATAAGTCCTGCAGCCCATCGGTAGAGTTTTAACACCAACAAAAGTAAGCGGGTGATCGCCAAGTCAAGCATCTGATGTTGATTGCGGTGTGCGATGTCCTCCCCCCAGGCTATCCACGAAGGCCATAGCTCTTTCAGGGGAGTCGAATACCTTGACAGTCCCGTCATGAATGATCCTTAACATAGTAGAGGAGGCGGGTGCCATTGTCCTCAGCCGCTTCTTCTTTTTCATTCGTCAATCCTTTGCGTACGCTCTGACTGCAACTGAGAAGTCCTGAAAAAAACATGACTTTGGATCCCTTGTAGACCAGAGCTTGTTGATCAGTCTTGCTACGTCTGGAAGCCTCCAATACTCTCTGCTTGTCGTTGAAGTTATGGAATCTGATGAGAACGGGCTGTGGGCGTTGATTTTGGCCGGATTTCGGGGCTAATGTGCAATGTGCTCTCTCAATTTTAACCCGTCCAGCCTTGGTCTACATATGTAGAAATTCGGGCAGCCATCTTTCAAAATTTCACTGACTGGGTGCCTTCCGTTCCCTCTGGCAGTCCAATGACCGTATTATTTTTTTCCTTTTGCCTCGTTCTTGAGATTGTCAATGTGTTCAGCCATGCTTCGCATCTCCTTCTCTCCGCCTCGTCAGCTCTCTGACCCTGACCTTGCAGCTTGAAGCATCTCGTTTATGGGACTCAGCTTTTCGTCCATGGCTTTTAAGATGTTGTCAGTAATCTCTTGTATCGCCTGGCGAAGCGAAGGCTCAGCTTTATTGGTCTTTATAGCAGTGGCTAGC